TTCTTTTTTGATATCGTCTGCAGTACTATGGGGATGCATGGGGCGGAGGGAGAGGCCATATGGGAGTTGCAGAGAGCGCAGACACCGCGCATGTTTCGAACGACAGAAAGCAGCAGCCGCTGCGATTGATGCCTTAGTGGCCTTGTCGCGACAGTGCCGCGACTTTGCAAACCTTGCAAACTGAAGGACGAAATGCTCTGAGGATCCGATCGCGGTCTGTGCCTCTGAGTGTATATGTTGCCGCCATATTTACAAAGGGAGCCGGAGTCATGGCTTTCTCCTCCGATGAGCTTTGCACATCATTCATGCATAAATGCAAAATGCATAGATGGTGTGAGGGAGAGCGTGAAGCGCCTCATGAGTGAATCATAAATTTTCTCATGTTTTCTCTTGATTTTCCACTGCTTTTCCCCGCTTATCCTGTTTTCTTAACAGCTGTAACTATTGCTGCAGAGTCTTAATTAATATGCAGGCGATGTGGAAATATTAATGAACGCTGAATCCTCGCACGTTACCTCACTGAGGAACAAATTAGAGCAATAAACAAGTCAATGTATAACAATAATACATCTTCTAGTAGCGCCGTTCAATCTATTTTAAAGAAACAAAATACAGTCATTAAAATAGGATAGTTTTGTCTCCACATTCAAAGGACTTAATCACACTTTGCCAATCAAATCAATCTAATGCTTTCAACTTAGTATTGAAGAGCCAAAGTTTGCTGCGGAAACATGATGCACTGGTTGCTCAAGGGGGTCCTCGAAGGATCTGGTACCATTACGACGCTTGCTGAAGAGCGAGTTTCGGAAGGAACCTCACTCAGAAATAATTTTTCTAGGAACCTATCCAACAAAGATTCGATTCAGGGAGTTTTGTGGGAGCTTCAAGCTTGAGTGAATACAGTAGGTCAGAGTAGCTCAGAGATGACGGCGGCTGCAGATGAAGTTATATTCCGAAGACGTTGAGAGCAGTGAAGAAGGGCTTGCGTCTACTTATAGGGTTGGTGTCAGAGTCTGCGATTCATCGCTATTTGAGCGAATCGTGCGACGGATCGCGGACTCTGACACCGGCCTATAGGATGATTTGAGGTATATTTTACTATAAGAGTACCAAGGACGGCAATCCCTGCAACGAAAAAATCAGTGAATACGACAGAGCAAAATCTTTTTCTGCCCCACACCCTCCCCTTTGTAAGCATAAATGTGACCCAGAACAAAAACATGTACGCTGTATCATTCGGGTTATGGGTTATACTCAGGAAACGCAGCTGCATCTGGTAGTGCAAAGCATTTGATTGCAGTGAGGAAGTTTCAAACAAGTTAAGATTCATGAGTGAATTCACATTCCCTTCCCTTGCACAGCTTGCTAAACCTTTCGACTCATTTTCAGGTCGGCGTTATTGGAATTGTGCTGATATCTCGGCTATCGTGCTCATCTATCGCACTCCTTCCTTCCACAACGCTTTCGGCTATATATGCGCATCACATTTGTTCGCTGATGTTGGACTGCTCGTCATTTTCTCCTTTTGGGCTGCTCCGGCTTCCTTATTGTGAGTTCGGCGGTACTGCTAATCAAATTTGAGCTAGTGTGCATCTCTTTCCACAAACAAAGGAGTCGTGACCGCTCTTATTTACAGTCTTCGAGAATATTGCTCCCCTCTAAGTTATAAGCCCTCTTTTCTCAGCTGCGAATCTTTGCCCTGCCCACATCGCGAATCATACCTTCCCGATAAGCCTCTGTGTGCTTTCAGCGCCTCCTCACGATTTCCTAAGATTTCCACCCAGTATACCGACCAACCGTAAACGTAACAACAAGGAATCCTATAGCCTGTTCCGTTAAAAAAAGGGCACTCTCCTCACAATGCAAATTGACTGATACTAAACATTATGTAACAACAAATACGAACGTCCAGCAATACACCCTTTTGCGCTTCGAGTCTGGACGTATCTGAATGTATGGAGGGGATGATCCCGAACGTGGCCGCTCTCTTCAACTCGGTCTTAGAACCGCCACAATTTGGTGCTTACCTCAGAACTAAGCCTTAAAGAGAGGACGGGTCCGTCCCCTCTCCAAGGCTTAGTCCTGGGGTGAGCAAACCAGCCCTTCTGGCGAAGCTGCTGGACCAGCTGCACCACTTGCGTCAGTACTCTCCTATCGTACCAACCGAGTTGAAGTAAACCGTCGACCGTTGGGGACCCCATCCCCTCCCCAACATTCAGCATACGGTCCCAGCCGAAACGCCAAAAGGGCTGGTTTGCTTACCTCGCAAAATAACAGTAGATTCATTCGGACCTATCAGCTGTGAACATAAAATAAAGCTCCATTATTCCAAACAGGAGTGAAAGAAATTTCCTGAAAAAAGTATTTCCACTCCACCAAAAACGAAAACTTCTGTTCTTCACAAAATCACTCGCGAATTTTCTTTGTTCACTTCAGTGGCTTCTCTGAAACGATAACACATTCGTACTTTCGTGAGAGAAGGGACAGCTCACCGTGATATTCGGTTTGGTCTCGGTTACGGCCAATTGCAAACGGCTCTCAATCGACTTCTGGCCATTTCTTCTCCAGTAATGTACAAGTGCGTCAATTATTTACCGATGATTATTGAATTAGTGGTTTTGCGTGAACGTTCCACGAATTATGTTTTCAATTTGAAAAAAAAAAACTGCACAGGCTCAAGGATCTACCAACATTAATACACGCACTTAAGGACAGTGAACACACCCAACTGTTGAGAGTGAGTCGGTCTCTGTGTGCATACAATGTCCAGGGGGACATAACCCAGAGTTATCTGAGAACGTTAGGAACACCCGCTAATGTAACACTAATGACGTCACCGACCCAATGTTACCGCATCCGCACCGTGTTCAACGCCTTGACTACGAGTAAATGTGCATAGTAAGCATGTCTCATTTGGTATGCACCGTATGGCAAGTAGGGCTATCCCTATTTCGATCTGATAACAAGAATCGTCCGGAAATTGGCAGTGAGAAATGAAAGAAAATTAGGTGGAAAGAAGTCTGCAACACTTTCTAAAATTCTTCTTTTCTTAAAAATTCATGTAACATTTATGACTACCAAATGATAGAGCATTCTCAAGGCTTCAATCCACGAGGTGGATATAAGTTCTGCAGTCAGTAGTTATCCAAGAAAATTCAAAAAATCTCGACCACTAGCAAATCCGTACTCCGAGTCACTGTCTAGTACAAATGTCTACAAAACCATGGATTCGTGTCAACGACTGACACTATCTGCAATAGCTTCTAATGGCATGCCGTTCAGCGATACAGCGTGTTTCACCTTTACCAGCGCTTCCGATCTTTTGATATTTTTATAAGAAGCCAGCAGCATCCCTCACACTCCATTACAGGTAGGGCTCTTACAGAAGCTCCACTACATACCCTTCGTTATGGGCACCATTGTGTAGGCAGTGGCCTAGGTTGTGAGTACCAGAAGCTGGCCGAGGTAGCTCGTCAAGAGCCCTCGTACCGCGACAATATTCATTTCTTTCATGACATTGCGAATCACCATGATCCGAAATGAGCCCGGTAAGAAATTCTGGAGTTGCGGCAAGATTTCTTTCTCTCTTAGCGTAATCCCTGGTCGAGCTGTAAATAAGTGCTACCTATCCTGGACCTTTAATCATCATCTTATAACGAAATAATCAGACGATCAACTCCAACTCGAAAGTGAGGTCGCCTCCTTTCTCGACTCGCACTCCGCTGGGTTTTGGCAAGGAGGATCAAGAAATTTTCTGAGCGATGGAGACAAGTGGTGGACACTCATGGTAGATATAAGACCAGTCAGAAGTTGTAACCAAAAAAGATAAAATTAAAATCAAAAATTTGAAAAAGTGTTGCAGGACTTTCTTTCCAACCTAATACTCGATCAAAAATATTTCCTCGCTTATGGAAGTCCTCATAGATCCGCACTAGAGTTTTTCCTGTTCTTGAATTATTGGTGATGAATAATTATGCATATTTTTCACATTCTTTTAAAAGATTGGCGTTGTGTTTATTATTCTTTCACGGGAATAATCTTATCTCTCCCGTTAATAGAAATGCTTATCAAAAATCATCCTCATATTCGCCAAGAAGCCATATTTACCGGTTGGAGCTCCTATGGACTACCACTTCGATCAGTCGCTTGAAAAAACTGGCAAACGAACAAAATTTACGACGAGCTGGATGACTTGGTGGCCGATGTTAGAGCGTGGATCGTCTCCAAGAATCGTGACTTCTCCACCCGTGGAATCGACCGACTGCCAAGCAAATGGGAAGCATTCTTGAAGGATTGACTACGCTCCGGAATAATCATTTAAACGTGTTTTTGTTAAATATCTTTATCGTTTTCTCTGAATAAAATTTGTTGAAAAAAGCCGCAATAATTATGCATCAACCCAATAGGTTTTATGGAACTTCCGTTGAATACGTGAAGTGTTTCTTTTCAGGGAAGGTGAGGTATGTAACACTTTTAGGATTGCTTTTGGGAAAGTGGGACTGCCGTGAAGCGTACGGGAGGAAGATAGGTTACTAGTTGGGGAATGAGGATCACCGAGGTCCATTAGGTACAGTATTTTGTTAACAAGTGGTTTATCCATCGTTCCGTCCAAAACCGAAATTCCCGAGCGTAGTCCACCATACTTGCGATGGACCTGCAATAACTTGCTCTCGAGAAGATGGCAATTTTTTTGTTGTTCCCAATTTCATAGCATCCTAATCAAATAAATTAGTGGCGATTTGCAATTTGGTCCAAATGAAGTAGTGCTGATTATGCTAGCATTTTTGGATGCCTTTCTTCCTCGAAGGTAAAAAGTAACTTTAACTAGCTAATTTTCTTCTTTGCAGTTCTACGTTCTCGACGAGTCGAACCAAGCAAATTCTGGTGGCATTTTGGATGCTCTGCTGTGTCCACGGCATCCCTTATTTTTTAGGTACGGCTTTCACTAACCTGCTTTTGAATATTCCCCTAGCAAAAACGTTGTACTTTCTGGAAACATGATGACGAACTGGTCAATAACTGGCCACTGTTATACATCTGAACCTGGAAGGACCAAACTGTGTACAAAAAGTTGCTCCGTTAATTGTCGTGATGATGAACTCCGCGTGAGAGTTATGAGTGGAATGGCCACAAGAATCCCACGATAACTTAGTTGTTTTTGCTAGTTTCCTGTCTACAATACCGAGTCTGTCTGGAGCTGAGAAAACCGGCATGACTGCAGAAAATGGGAAGGGTTATGCACTAGCGAACGTCTCAACCCCGGCGGGGATTTCAGGATGAAAGTTTGAAGTTATGTGACACTAGTGTTCGAAACAAAGTCGCAGCCCCAAATTGGTGCAATAGTGTTTCTATTAAGATGTGCCAATTTTTAGTGGATTTCTTACGCAATTTTTTTTACAAAACTTTTTTTACAAACTTTAGTTAAGCAAATTATTCAAAAAAGTCAATGAGGATTAATCCAAACACATCGTTCATTCGTAAACACCTGCATTAAAAAAACTTCCATATATCTCATCCAGGAATAAAGTGACTGCTGAATGAGCTATCGGATAAAGTGGATTTGAAGCTGTGTTGTTATCGAATTTCTTTCCACGAAGATGGCTCTGAAGGAGGTGAAAAATGGAAATGTGAAGTCTGAATCAAACGGTGGATGACGTGAAGTCCACTTTGCGAGACTTTACGAAACATCGGCCGAAACTACGATGCAATGACCCCTTGTGTTCCATTCGAGCATGCTACCATAATTCAGCCAAGCTGGGCCCTATACATTCCTAGAGAACTCCCAATCCACTGCCCTGACAGAGAAGATGTATACATTCAATGTGACAGTTTGTCGACGGATCTCCTGGATGACTTTTACAATTCTTCACTGTCTTAGTGAAGCCATGTTTCAGCCGCATGTGCGTTCTGCGAGCATCCATAGAGCGATGAACCTCGGCGACCGATCATCAAAGGATACGTACTGAACGCAAATGCGGAGAGCCTAACGTTTAGAGAGATTAGGATACCATATCCACGCAATCAGCGAATAGCTTGGAACCGGGCTTCCTTGGCTGTCTCACTGGAGGTGACAGTGCGCAATTGAAAAATGCATAATCATACCCAATATTTTCAAAATTCCCCATTACGAAAGCTTCCCATAGTTATAGCTCAGTTAAACATCATTGCGGGACAGCCTGATACTACTTTTTTTCATTTGGTGCAATTGAGCAAGGAAGGTTCTCTTTGTTGACCCGTTCTAAGCTTAGAAATAAATAAATAAATGAGTAGATTTCAGATTGCGATTTCTTTTTTGACGCCCACTCATTCCTCTGGATATATTCTCAAACTGAATGCAGCGCCTTCATTGCTTTTTACGTTGCCTTCTTGTACTGCGCAGTTCTTTGTGCTGCAGTGATCTTCATCGACACAATTGCTTTTTTTGCAATCATCCAAAACGTCAACAAAGTGAAGGTGACTGCTTTGTACTTACTTCGATTTTATTCCACCTACACTCGCTTGAAGTTGGGTAAAGTGGATCCGACCAGGTTTAATTACAACGCTAAGGGAGGGCATCTCGCTGCCGAGTTCCCAATGCATTTTGAACCTCGATAAAGATTTTCAATTTTAATTGATGTTTGGAGGAAGAAATAGTCGCCTGCTCCCATTTCTCGCAGGACGGAACTTGGTTCCCCATCTCTGTTCTTCCCATTTCCGAAGTTGGAAAAAAACTGCTCCACCAAAATGACTCATCGCAGCAACATATGTAGATCCTTTGACTAATAATTCGAGACCTTGGTATTTTCAGAAATTGTCCAAATCCTCTCTTGGAGCTCCGGATTCTGTACTGCTTAACAAGAACATCAAGCTCTACATGCAGGTAATTTCGTTTCAGGAGTGCTACGGGGAATACATGTGTAATAGTGTTGTAATCGGCGCCATCACTCATTTAATCAAAGATTTGTGGTCTCTCTTGGAAGCAATGATCACGATGGTTGTGGGGCAATGAAATTTTTATGGCGTCATTGGTAGACCACATCCCCGGCATGCTACAGGGAGTGGTTGGGAAGAGTCGAGGGTGGGTGAGCAAATTTAACTTCTCCCAGAAGTCTTGCAACTCCTTGGCTTAGCCTTTGCCCCGTGAACTTAGCGTGTAATGAGTTTCTTCAAAATGTCCCAAAGATACCTTTCCAATTTGAAGACTTCTGAGCAGGTATACTGTTTGTTCAGGGATGTCTGCAAGCAGGATGTTTTGCGTTGGTGACTGTGTCATTTTTCGTCTTCTCCAGAATGGCTACAACAAAATGGGCGCTATTTGTCACAACAACACTTGCGTGGGAATTAGCGCATGCTGTGGATGGGTATGTCTGCCTTTATTTGGTTCCGTGGGGTGACACAAAGTTTTCATTAAGGCTTATTCTAATTGCTTTCCACGAGAGATTCCGCGTGATACTACGTCAGCCATCAATGCTATGGCGAAACGAATTCACCGAAACAAAGGCCGCAAACATTCCTACAAACACTTCAAGGTAGGCTTTCGGAATTTGTTTCACAATA